TCCTCTGCCTGAGTCGGGGGTCTGTAGTAGACTCCCACAATAGCATCCAAGGTCTTGACTCTAACAAATCTTACCCCAAGATGACAAAGACATTCAGGTTAAGACACTTTAATTTCTGTCAAACCAATGGAAGAGACTTCTGATTCAAACCAGTGCTGAAAATTAGAGAAACAATGAGGTGGGGCATGAGAGACTGCTGATTAAGATCGCATGCAGTTAAAAAGCAAAACCAGACAAGACACAGCATCTGATAAATTGGGATTAGGATTAGGACTATGGTGTTCTCTTCTTGGCTAAGACCCAAACGCTGGGCTTTCTCTCAAACGAGTGAAGCAACTGCCTCAGGCAGCTGATGTGGGATGAGGTGGCAGTGGGGCATGTGGCAAAACTGGGAATGCAGAGATCAGGTTGCCTTAATTAAAGACATTGGTTGGAATCAGGTTGATATACTTATTGTTTGTTGTTATTGTGTGCCTTCAAGTAATTTCTGATTTATGGCGGCCATAAGGTAATCCTATCATGGGCTTTTCTTGGCAAGATTTGTTCAGAGGTGGTTTGCCATGGCCTTTCTCTGAGGCTGAGAGCATGTGACTTGCCTCAAGGTCATCCATTGGTTTTCTTGGCTGAGCTGGGACTCAAACCCTGGTCTCTAGAGTCATAGTCCATGACTCAAACCACTATGCCACGCTGGCTATCCATACCAGTCTAACTGCTGTCATAGAGCATGGAAGTGTTGGTTGGGATTTACTTCGGGACTCACATCTATGTAAGTGGATTTATGTCTGCAGAAAATAGAACTGAGTGGTTTTGCCATGTCCGTATTCAGCAAGGGGCTGCCATGAAGTTACACCATGTTCCCTATCAGGACCCAGGCACATCAGGACTGTTGCATATTAGAATTGATGCACAAAGGGACTCAATGTGCTCCAGAACTGATGCACAATGGAACAATTGCTCCTGGGCACATCAACTAGGGAGTGCCAATTTGCACCAGTAGAGCCTGATGCACATCAGGACCTTCTTGCCAATGTCCCATCACACATCTTCACACCTCACTAACAGGGTTCCTTAGCCCCTCTGCTACCTAGATGAGTATATGTAAAGTTACACAATGTAGACCAAGATAGAGAATTCTGTCCATCACATACCCGCATTCACTTATTTGCCATCTGAAAATATATGTTCCCTTTAGGTCCTACGGTGGCATTTCTATGGTATGCTTCCATACCATATGCTTCTATTTCTATTTCTATGGTATGCTTCCATGGTATTGACCATGGAGTCATACTGGAGGACCTAGAGATTCCTGGACTGGTGTTCTCTTGAAACATTTCTGGGTCCTCCAGTGTGAATATGGTATGCTTCTGCTGGAAGTTGACCATTGAGTCACACTGGAGGACC